AAGAGTTTGGGTAAAGCCAAGATCTTATAAGGCTATATTCAGATAAGTACAAATTTAAAAATTACAGTGCCTGGAGTTAATGTTAGGAAATTATAAAAGAAAATCAAACAATTTCTACTTTATGACCATTTGCATGGAAAATCAGTAAAACGCTAAACTATGTCATGTTTCTATTTTAGATGTGTATATATATATATATAAAATAGAAACAGGAAATAAAACAATTCTAAAGAATGGTCTGTAATCTTCCTAGCTTGATGTCCTCCACCTGTTTTGAATTACACCACCAAATTGGCTGGCTGCGGTACAGTTATATATAGTACAGTACAATAGGGTTTCATGCAAGGTTGGGTAAGTTGGCAAAAAACAAATCATTTTAGGTAGAATCTAGTACTTTTCACCCTCAAAAATACTCTTTATTCTCAAGGTTACCTAGAAATCTAAGCATTCAATAAATATAGAATTATGGAATATGATTATTGTGATTAAGATACAGATATATCTTTTTCAGTCATATAAATTCACGTACCCTATGATGAGTAATAGTTAAAAATATTAGTAGCAGACATCAGACTAGTACAGTAATTTTAACCAAAGAAACTTCATCTTGGTTAAGAGAAGAAACAATACTCTGATATAACAGGAGGTGGGAATTATCTTTATTCCTTTTTTCATTTCTGATTATAATCAAATGATACAATCAAGAGTCCTCCATTGTTCAAGCTTGTTGTCTTGAGATAAAATATGAATTAGCTAAATATTTTTGCTGGTGTGTATAGAAACTTAATAAAATAGACCTGGAAAAGTTTAATTATCTAAAGTATTAAAATTTACACATACATACTGAAATTAGGGACATTTATTTTTAAAATAAGTATAACAACTTTAAATCAATCTTGAGTTCATGGACACCTCTATAGTTTCCTTGGCAACAATACAGAAACAGTTTGGCCTTTTTCAATACATTTTACTCATTGGTTAAATGTATAGCTATTTTTCTCCTGAGTGATGTTGAGGTAATTCCCCATTAGGAGAATGAGTGCATATAGGGAGACGTAGTGAGAGTAATGTTGAATAACACACACATAGCACACAGCTACACTGTATAGTAAAATGTAGGTTTTACTTCCAATAAACAGTTAAGCAAAGTCCAACAAACAGTCCAAGTCATACACGGTTATAGCAGTCAGTTTTCAGTCCAGGGATAATCCAATAAAGTCCAGCATCAAAAACAGTTCAGTAAAAGACTCACATCAAATCCAAGAATAACGATGATCAGTAACAGTCAATAGGGAAATGCAGGAACGGCAACACTCTCAGAAACCAGGTTTCTGGCTCCATCCTATGGCCATTTGAGAAACTACACCCAATTACAATTTTAGCATTCCCTTAAAGAGAAAGTATTAAAATGTCTATCCTGGTTTATATATTTCCAACCCAACTGTTAGGTGACTTACATTCCTAACAAGTGATGTTTTATTGAAACAGCAATCTTGTGAGGTAGGTTGAACTGAATGATGGTTTAATAAAGGTCAGCCTGAACACAGGTTTCTCTGGGCCAGCTCAACCACTTCACCATATGTGATGAAGAGATGCTTTTATTCACATATCCTAGAAATATTTTCTCAAAATTAAAAACACCTACTTTTTTGGAAATAGGTAACAAAATCCTTGAAGTGGCATTTGCCAGTGGGGGATGTATATGTATATGGAAGACAACTCCAAACTTTCTCACATATTGTTCATCATACTTCAGAGAATCCAACTTACCTCACAGGGTTGTTATGTAGAAAATAGGAGGAAGGTGTGTTGAATATGTTTGCCACCTTGAGTTATTTGTAAAAAAAAAAACTAAACAGAGATGACTGGTTTTATAAATGAGGCAACTACTATTGAATTTGTTACATCATTCAAGTTCACTAAAAAGTGGTGCCAAAGCCTAAGATAATTAACAGTATAATACCTAAAGTATAGTATTCCTAAATCTATTGTTGTCATTAAAATATTGGAAGTCTTATAAAAGCCAGAACAAAAAAATGTAAATGGAGACAATCTTGATTTATTTAAGCCAGTACAAAAATACATAGCACATAAAAGTTATACATTAAAAATGTTTATTCCTAATACTGGATTGCTCTATATAGGAAAAATAGTAACATTAATTTAACAGTGTAGAAAATAAAATTATAAGACTTGTTTATCTAAGAAGTATATATATTTTCTAAAACTTGGCACTAAAAATGTGTATATTACAAAAAAGCAAATGAACTGAGAACTATTTAATATGGCAGTAAATCTATCCAGTAGATTAACATTTTGTCTAACAAGTACCTGAGAGCAACTGCCTCAGTAAAGCAGGTTAACAAAAATACAATAATTTGACTGAATTATGAGAATTCCAGTCTTAACAGCATCCCTTATTCTACATGTTTATTTGCATAAATTGTCCACAAAGCATTTTATGAGTATTTTGGTGCACAGTATAATTAAGGTAACAGTAGACTAAGGCAGTAATCCATTTGTTAGCCTGCATGACCTAAATGCTACCATTATCTACTTAACAAGCCAGCATAAGTAGACAAGAAAATAAAATTCTAGTATAATAGATCCCTTTAATCTACTTTCAAAGTCAAGATAGTTCATTCTTCTAAATAGCCGGCAGGTGCAAAATCTAGAGTTAAATCATTTTGATTAAAATATTGGTTCTCATAATTGATTTATAGCAGTTGGAGAAACTACACATCTCTTTTTGTAGAACTGACTCTTTTGTGATCTCCAGAACCACCTACAATCATAGTGGCAAAGCAGGAATAAATGAAGGAATAATCTTCCATGGTTTAGAATTAAAAACAGAATCCCCTCCCAAAAAAAAGTAAACCAAGCAAAGGATGACTTAATACATCCTAGACAAAGAAAAAAAATTCTGCACACTCATTTCACTATCCTCCCCCCAAAAAATTGTTGCTGGATAAGACAGCATTTATCCAAAATAATCCATGGAGTTCATAACATTTTAAAAGTTGCTGCATCTTGCTTGAATGGACAATGTTCTAGTGACCAAAGATTACAATGTGCCTATTGCTAATGGTTGGGAGGGGATGTCTCATTATGGGGAGAACAGGGCTTGTTTTTCTATTCTAATTTATAAATCTATGGAAAGGCTTGCACATGTACTTCATACCTCAAAACAGTAATAAATTTGCAACATTATGAATGACAGTATTTACGAGGCTGCAAAAAAGGCTCGAGACTGTTATGTGGCTGTGCAAACTCCAGGACTTTCTTCTCTGCGTTACATTAGGATAGACTATTCCAGAACAACTGTTAAAGTTACCCACTCTGCATATTGCAAGTATGCACTCTGAAGCTCTGTGTTTATTTTCAACAGTTTAAGGCTAAGAGAATGTATTTTAAAGTGCGCCAAACAATTTGTGTGATCTCAAGACAGCAAACTTACTGCTGGAATAGGATTTCTTGTTAGTGTTGTTGCAATGTTCAGCATAGTTCTTTGCCCCCCTCCTCTAACAAAGTCATAAATATGCAATAATTACATGTTAAATAATGTCTCCAGTACACATAATTCAGTTTTTGGTGCCATATCGGGAATTACTGCATATTTATATTTAACACAGAATATGTAAGATTTACCTGTTTCACAGACTTCAATTTAGAGTTAAATTTAACCCACAAAGCCATTAAGAACATAACTGTACCTTACATACAAAAGCATAGGGATAAGGAAAAACAGACAAGATAATCGTGAGGCCCACTGAGGGGGACAGGATAAAATTACTTCATTTTTGTTAATGTGGTCATTTTGGCACCACTTCCTCAGGCTTGACAATCATGAGCCAGGATTTGTCCTGACAATAGAACAATAGAATAGAAACGTTTCCTTTAGGAAGAAATTCACTTACAAACTTCTTGGATGAGAAATCTTTTAAGTACTGATAATTTTAGTATTTAACCTTATTTCTTTTTGAAATTTAGAAAAACTATAATGGTTTAGAATGTTTTTAATAATTAAAACAATTTTGTTAAATGGTATAAGCTTTTATGAGTTGTAGCTCACTTTATCAGATGCATGAAGTGGATAAACAGAAGTAGGATTTGAAAAATGAAAATGCAGCAAGTAGAGAAAAGGGTAGTTATGCATATGCAGGTTACATATGGGATAAATTATAAGTACCTCATGAATTAGTAATAGCAATGTATTAAAAATCATTTCTGTTTGTTAAATCTTGGATAGCCTGAATATAATTTATGTAAATTGATTCTGGTGCAGTTTTGTTTCAAAATTACAAATATGAATTACAATTCATGAAAGCTTGTGCCTTTTAAAAATTGTTAGTAAAAAAAAAAGTTCTATGACTAACAGATTTTTGGCTGCCAATCTCACAGAGTTCTCAATGTCTTTAATGTTTAAAAGGAATTATTTATTATATTCTGCAATCTTACTGTGTACAAGACCAGAATTTGTGTTCAGTGAGTCAAATAAACTGAAGCTAGGTTTTCTTTAGTGAAAAGCAAACTGGATTTCATTCAGCAGAATATTTTGCTTTGAGCCATTTTTCAAACATGGTCTGAATTTGACAGATAGATAGCTCCTTAAAATTCAGAATTTTCTGGATTGCAACAATATGAAAACCTCAAACATACATTTGCAAGGCTGGTGAGGCTCCTTTGAAAACAGCTTCTACCACATCAATGTGAACATCCAGGACTTCACTTTCTTCAAAATGGAAGGGGCCTGTTAAATGATTTAGCATGATATATGAACCAACTTCAAAAAGGAAGCTAGAGTTGATAGACTGGGGGTTTAACTTCCAACAGCATGCTTTTCTATGTCCAAAAAGCTTCAATAAACTTTTGCAAAACTGTATTTTTCCAGAAATAAATGTGCATTTCAAAACACTTAAATCACCAAAGGGCAAACTCTCATTTATAACAGTCTTTTAAAAAGCTATAGCCTTAAAAAACAACAACCCAGTGACAATTTAAAAAAAGGACACTGATTGCATAGAAAAAACTAAGTAAATAAAAGAATACCTTTTACTGGAGAAAAAACACCCACATTTTAGCACTGTAGTTTGCTTTTCTCATTTCTTCAGACGAAAACTGCCTTTAAAACCTTACTCTTTAGAACATTTATCTGTTCTTTATCTGTTAACAGGTACTGATAAGTCTAAAGGTTTAAAAACAATTCTGACCAAGATACCCAAACAATGTGTAACACACACTTAAAAGTGCTTCACTAGGTTCAGGAAAAAAAAGTAGATGTGTCATTGGCAAGTCACACTTTTGCTTGGATAACAGTTCAGTTGATTGTGAATGTAGGTCGTCTACCTTCCCCACAAACTGCAGCTCAGAGTAACTTCTTTATACACACCTTCATGCAACAAGATGTAAGAACTACATTTCATTCATACAGATTGTGTGACTTCAAGGAAAATGCAGTTAAAGCTGGAGGGTTCAACAAGCCCAAACCATGACAGCCTGAACAATAGGCTTGCTTGATTTCAATGATACATTTTCTTGCTGTACCCAATCTTGACCAGCAACACTTTTGCTGCATTTGAGATTATTAACCCCGTTTCACCACATACATAGTTCCTTGCAATCTATTCATCATATGTGCAGTCCAGTATAAATCATTGATTCCAAATGTGGCAATCTTCAGATTGTGCAAATACGAAGTAGCCAATCAATTCCATTCAGAGACTGCATACTACAGTGATTTGGCAACACATCTTGCTAAAAAGTGAAAGTTAACTGTGGTAAGCATGCCTTTTGTCATACAGAGCTTTTCCCTTTAATGTCCATCTTGATGCTAACTTCAGACTGTTTACTTATTTGTTCTTCTGTAAAAGTGATGTAGGAATATACGAGGCTTCCAGCAATACTGCAAAACATCAGCATTTAGAATTAATAAACAAAAAATGTCTTCATGAAATATTAAATTGATGGTCAGTACTATAGCAACCATGGACACCCACAAAGCCCTCACTAAATTCTTTGTGTCTCCCAGATACCATGTCTCCTCACCAACGCACCACCCACAGTCCAATTTGCATTTCTTCCTACACAGAAACTGGATATATTTACCACATTTTATTTCAGCCATAGAAACAAAAGTGGATATTGTGTATGTGGTGAAGGATAGAAGGTTTTGAATATGAGGGCAAGTTGTGAGTATATGTGAGCGTCATGTTTATTCAAGGATCTTCTGCCAGATACTTGATAGGTGAAAATACCAGCACAGCAGTATATTAGAATACATTTCATATTTTTTGTTATGTAAATGATGGTTTTAAAATTTTTCCTACCTTCTCATTTGCTGCTCCCAAAATGTATACCAATATATGAAAATTATATCATAATATTAATCTTAACAGTTCCTTAAATGTAATATTTTGGAAGGCACTGAAGACCTGGTTCTGCCAGTGGGCCTGGGGAACCCAGAGCGGGATGGAGCCCATCAAATGGCTCACGTGATCTGCTATCATTGGGGCGGGGGGGGGGGGGGGGGGGGGGGGTGTTTTTTTTTTTTTTTCCCCCCCCCCCCCCAAGATTTGTTCTATTGTACTTTATTGATTTATTTGATTCTTTTTGTTAGTTTTATTTATTTATTTATTTATTTTGTTTTAAATATGGTTTTACATTCTGTAAGCCACCTCGAGTTGCCATGGGCGTATAGGTGGCAATATAAATTAAATAAATAAATTAAATAAAAATATATTTCCCACTTCTGTAGGATTTATTTCCAGACTAGTTGCTACAGCAAATCTACTATAAACACCTTTTCATAAAATCCATAATGAACTTGCATAATTAGTCCATTTATTTCTTCAAAAGATAGATTCTTTACTTACCTAATATTTAATCCTACAAAATTTGTCCATGTGAAAATATAATCTCCTCCAAAGAACATTCCTATGTAAGTTATTAATATATTCTGGAAGTAAAGAAATAAACAGAATTTAAGCTTTTAAACAGAGTAGACTTGTCAGAAGATTATTATGGTCATAAATTGCCTTAATACTTTAAAATATTCATAAAACAATGAAGAAAAAGATAACAGATGCTGTCCCAGCACTGAAAGAAACAAATGCAATCTGATTACCTTAAAATTTAGATTTAAGTAGTTAGAATTTCTGTAAGAAATTGTATGAAATCCCACATCTCTACCACATCACCTCCACCTGTCAGGCTTAGCTTTTCCCACACATACTGCATTTGTTAAACAAAAATTACCATTTTTCTTTCACATACGTAAAGGCCAATTCAGCTCACAAGCTTTTCTATATCAAGCTAATACAATATTCTCTATGATTTTCTTTCCAATCAAGAAGTAGAATATGTACCAAAAAAAGGTATGGCTGAATTGTGTCTATTTTTCCAAGAAAAGTTGCAAGATGAGACCAGTTATTGGTTCTATAAATTTAAAGAGCTTACCTTAATACAGCCAACTATTGTAGTTGTAAGGGCAGAGTTATACTGAGTACAAAGTACTGTTGAATACATCAGAATAAACCTATGTATATAAGATAGACAAGATTTTGACAATTGATTTAATATAATTCAGACATGGACCAAAGACAGATGAATAATTCCTAAATTTTTGGCAAGAATGTTTAACAATATTGGGTTAGAGTCTCTTTTGAGGTGCCCAAGAGACTCCTACAATAATTAGATGTGCTTTGATGCAGCAGCAAAATTCCCAATTGTGATTATCCATACTTTTATTATGAAATAAGATCCAAACAGAATCTTTGAGTCCTAACACATCCATTTTGCTTTTGAGTCCATTCCTAAACTTTTAATCATTGCCACTGTCCTCCAACATACAATTTCTGTCTCAGTGATGTCCCTGAAGGAACAGTTGTGTTCCTGAAGGCACTATTTGAAAAGAGGGGGGGGGAGTTATTGACTGTTGAATTTGAGGAAGTAAGGTATTTAGATTTGTAAAATAACAAGCATACTTAGTTCATGTAACAATTTTTTTAAAAAATTTCAAATTTATTACAGTCAGAGACCAGAACAAATAAAAACACTCAAGAATATCCAGTTAAAAATTCTAGAATAAAATAATAAATAGCAGATAAAATCTATATTAAAATAACAAGTTGGCATCCAATCTGTCAGTTACACATGGCCTAACTATACTATAATATTAATCTTTAAATTGAGGCCCATAGTTAGATAGATAGATAGATAGAAAGAATACTTTATTGGCCAAGTGTGATTGGACACACAAGGAATTTGCCTTGGTGTAAATACTCTCAGTGTACATAAAAGAAAAGATACATTTGTCAAGAGTCGATAATCATAAGGCCCATATTCACTAAATACTAAAATGCAAAGGAGCAGTAATGCAAAAAGGGCTTGCTACATCAGTTGTGTAAAACAGGGGTCCCCAACCACCGGTCCGAGGACCGGTACCGGTCCGCGGAACAAGTCTTACCGGGCCGCTGGTTGCTGAGCGCCGCCATTTTTTTTTGATAAAAAAGTGCTTCCGGTGAGCTTTTCCGGGTAGAAAGCCATTTCTACCCGAAAAAGCTCACCGGAAGCGCTGGCGCCGCCATCTTTTTTTGATGAAAAAGTGCTTCCGGTGAGGTCACCGGAAGCACTTTTTCGTCAAAAAAAGATGGCGGCGCCCAGTTGATGCCGGTACCGGGCCGCGGCGCCCAGCTGATGCCGGTACCGGGCCGCGGCATAAAAAAGGTTGGGGACCCCTGGTGTAAAATAGCTATGGTGGGTTAATCAAGTGTTTCTGACAAATCCCCAGTGCTGCTGCGCAGAATCTAGCTACCTGCACTATAATCACAGTCTATTCATCCTTAAGCAGCCACTGAAGATAAGCAGGATACCTATCGATTATTGGTAGGATGACACACAAATTCATTGAGGAGATAGAAAGAATTTCATCTTTAAAATCTCACTTTAGATAGTCTTTAATGCATTGGGGAAAAATTGGGGAAGCCAAAAATAAAGTATTCTTACCCCATCACACAGGAGAGTGTAAATTGTGCAAGGAAAAGGGTATCTGCCCAACCTTTATATTCCATTGCCTGAAAACAAATTATATGTATATTAATAGACAAATAATCAGGAATATTTTTCATACTAGCTCATCCATAAGCTGAAAAAAATATATAGTGTCAAAATTCATAGATTAAAACCTATATGTAAATGCCTCTTGTATGGAATCTTATATAGTGAAAAATTGCTCATCTCAACAGAAACCAAAGTTTGAAAATTAAATCCCATCCTGTTTTACGCTGTACCTGATAAAAGTGACAATAGCAATTATAAATTATAGCAGATTTATTTAACAATGTATATCATAATGTGCATTAGGTCTGACAAACATTTTGCCTAAGATATAGTATAGCCTATCAATCCAGTATATTTTTAATATTGTACCATTGTTAAGCTTAAAGAAAAATATAAATACTTCATAACATTTATTTATTAAATTTTTATGTCACCCATCTCCTTATAAGGTTATTATGGGTGGTTAAAAGGGGAAAAAAACAAAATATGTTTTAACATAGTCCTTTATAATAGTTTATCTAGCCATCTCTATTGCACAATATTCAAGCTTACTATTTTTCTCTGTATTAGAGTTCTATAATGAACATACCAAATCACAGCAAAGATCAGAACAAATTATCCAAAAATCTGTGAATTTCAATGGTCTATAATGAAACTATGACAGGAGGTCCTACCCATAAATTAAAATCTTTTATGTCTTGATTGCAAAAGATTTCCTTAGATGTTAGAAGTAATTTCTGGATAAGCTTTTGAGGAGTAGCTGGATGTTGAATAGTCCTTTTTATAAAAGTCACAGAACTACAAGCAGCGATGACTGAAAACTGATGATGGACTGATACAATCTACAGCAGGAACCAGTTCAGAGCACCTGGGATTTTGTATAAAAGTGCAAAGGAAATGCATACTTTAGGATACACAAAGGAAGCTTTAATACAGAAAATGGATTATGTCCAAGAAATGCATGTCAATAAAGTCCCACAGTTCTACTCAATACATCTTGGCAAATTTTACTCACAAAACAAGATTATCTCCTCCAACTCATGAATGCAAGTTTTGAGTAAGTAAACACACCTTTTTATTGATGTATATCCACAATAGGGAAGAAACTTTACTGCTTCTTCTAACAAGGGTCTTATTTCAAGTGAACAATTACTCTTTCTGTTACATCTTTAAAAATCTTCCCTGTCACATTCCATTGCAATACAGTCTAATACCTTCCTATTAAAAGATGATGGAACAGAGTCTAGCTGGGCAGAGATTTATTTATGTCAACAACGTAATATAATACAGTATTGATTTATTTAAATTTATTTACGTATTAAATTTGTTTGCTGCCCATCTCACTGTAAGGCAAGGCAATACTGCACATATCTTGGGCCAATGATTCTCTTTCAACCCAACCCATCTGACAAGATTGTTGTGAGGAAAATAGGAAGAAGAAGGTATGTTGGATATGTTTGCCAGCTTGAGTTATTTGTAAAACAGTAATAAAAGGCAGGATAGAAATAAAATGACAGCAGTTTGGATTTCCTCCTTAAAATCCCACTCCAAAAGACACTTTTCAAGCCACAATATAAACTTCTCACAAGCGGCTTCCAAATCTAGACTAAATTTAAATACATAACCTAAATGCTTTGCACATGACAGCTTTATGTCTACTGATCTGCCGATAGTTTTACTTATAAATAAAACAGTTCAAAAATGGAGTACAAATTCCTGCCTTTGCAAATACCTTTATATTTCGGGGAGAGGGATGTTTTCTCCACTAGCTTTCTATGTGCAGCATTCATTCAAACAGAGCAGAATGGAGAAGCAGATCCCACCCTAATCCATATTTAGGAAACTTCATGAAGTAACATGAAAAGCTCATTATGGGAGCAATTCTAACCCAAACGTTTGCTTGCGGTGTAGGTTTCCTCTTGCAGATATTATTGCACAAAAGGTGAACTTACAGTCTGAAAAGGCTGAGTTTAATTAGCATTTTGCTTTGCCACGTCTACCATCATACAGAGGCAGACAGAAAAAAGATTTAAAGAGTGCTTGCTTTATAATGCAAAATTTATTCCACGTTCAAGTGGAATTATTACACTCATTGATCCAATATTTTATACAAATCCAAAATTATAAGGTATCAAGAAAATTAGGACCAACAGGAAAAGATAAAATAGATATGTGAAGTGTGTAAAGAGTTGAAGTGTAATTCCTAAAGTAGTAGAAAGAGAATAAAGTAATATTAAAGAGAAATAAGGTACTAAAACATCAATAAAATACATTTACTTGGGCATTAAGCACTACATTTATTTATTTATTTTAAAAAACCAAATCTTAGGCTGTTAAGAAAAACTTTATTACGTATAAGTTTCCAGTGAGCTTCTTTAAAATCAAAAGAAACACTTAAAATTGGTTGTGGGGGTGGGATAAATGCTACAATGCTTTTACAATCTAAACATTGACACAGAAAAACACGGAACCTGGAGAGAAAAGTCAATACAATAAACCATAGTTAATTTGCAACATGCATAGAAATATCCAGTCATGCATAGTTATGGAAGAGATTTTATTTTATTAATAAAATCTGTTTTATTAGCATTTTTTTAAAGTGTGAACGCTAATTTAAAAAAATCAAGAGTACTAATTGAAGCATTGGCAGAAAGGTTCACTTAATGCATACCATTCAGCCACTAGCTAAGATCTTGGGAAATTAAAAGGCATTTTTCTGTATATTTTAGGCAGGGGCATATTTCGCTGACCATCAGGAGCCCTGTCAATGAAAGCCTGGCACCAAGCACCAGACCTATTTATTAATCAAAAAGCGTGTTTTCAGAAAATCATAAAAGCTTTTGATAGATTCCTTGACCCACCAGAGTTTCTATTTTTAAAAAAACTTTTGAACATTTCAGAAATTGTAACCTGGTATGTTGCAAACACAAGCTGTGGCACTACCTTTATTTCCAATAATGAAGGAATTTCCAATTTGGGATGCCAGTACATCCCAAATACTGTAGACCTCAGAAGCTTTCTTAGAAAATGAAAATAAAGGTGACTAGTGTCCAGTGCTAAATATGCCTATAAAAATGCAGGTAAACGGAGTTAATAGGAAACCCCACGTGGGAGAGAGTATCAGGTAATATCTCAAAAAGTTTGTACCTACAGTAGTTATAAGCTCAGGAATAGGCAATTAATTTTCTCAAAGGATCACATGAGAAACTGGGAGTGTTGTGAAGGGATGAACTAATAGCACCGTAAAGGCACGCATGCATATATGTAATTGGGAAAAAAATAGCTGCCTTCAAAATAAAAACAATGCAGTTGTATTGTGTGTATGACTTACACTTATTTACATTTGATTTCTAATTTCCAACTGACCTCACAATTGGAACAGCCAAAAGGCTGGATGTGGCCCGAGGGCCGTAAAATGCCCAGATCTGTTATAGCCCATGCTAACCGTATTTGTGAATGAACAAAATCTTCTAGCAGCCATGGGGAGAATGATGATCCCAAAATTTCACCAGCCTAAAAAAATGGTGTTCCCACAAGAATATATTGTGTGCCTTCTCTCTTCATCATAGTTACTTAGTATTGTAAGAAAAAGCAATAGAAAAACTTTCCTTGATCCTTAAGATCAGATGAGCTGGGAAATAGGATTTGAAAAAAACATAGCAGGAACATACTTATCATCACAGCAATTATAATCACAGCAATTTTATAATCACAGCAATTATTAGGTTTTATGGCACAAAATGTATTCAGTCCACTGGAACTACAGAGATAACTAATATATGCCACAATTGTTCATGGCTGACACCTAGCCTGTTAATTTCACTGGCAAATATTTTCCTCCTGTTAAAACTTCACCAACAAAAAATACAACAATCCACTCTTTTCACAGGTCATAATTTGCACTTACATATCAGTGCATAATAAATTAACACATACAGGGAGAGAGGCTCAGTCCTAAATATAGGTTTCTTATGAACAACTCCGTGATTTCCCAGGCCTCTGAATATGTACTTGATGAAAACGAATTCTAGAATACAGCACAATACTCACATTACAAATCTCCCAACACAAACAGCAAGAATGTCAAAAAGTGGGTCCTATGTGCAACATTTAAACCACTGAAAACAAATTCACTATCTTGTACTGTATGAATTTTCACATTAAAAAAACTTTTACTGAAAAAACATACATTCTAATGTTTTATAATATCCTTTTTACCAGATAGTACTTTCAACATCTTAATTTCCATTCTCAAACAAATTACTAACAATCAATACTCCTTTAAATCCTAAAAGGTCTAGTCATGGAGCTGTTAAAGGACTTGTATGTCTGTTCTGCATCCCCTTCCTCATCTATGGCTTTTCCACTACCCTAACACTAGCCAAAGCCAATGACAGTAGCAGTAGCGTGTTTGTGTGGAACACAGAATTATCCCTCCATTTAGGGTGAAAGATAACCTTAAATTTAATACTTAGCCTTTGAAATCCCACTTCTATGTAGGAAAAGCTGAGCCTGGGATTCTTTCTTGACAGTTGTCCATCAGATTTTTTTCCTAGCAGCCTCAGGAAAATTCTAGGATTGGAAACTGGGATGTTGAAAAAAAAAAATCCAACAAATGCCATAGGAAACAATTTCCACAAAGCTGACAAGAAAACTGCAGGAAGGAAGCCCCAGAAGTCAAGTTCAACATATGTTTTACCTCTAGTTGTTGAATATTTATTTATTTATTTATCATAATCCTCTTTTGAAGGGTGACTTCTGTCAGCCCCACAGGTAGACCAGACCATGAAATCAACCCTACAGTTGACCCTACAGAATCAACTACTTTTAAAGAGACTAGTTCCAACAGCAGAATCTTGCAAGTCTGACTATATTGTATCTCCACCTCTTTCAATGAATTTGAGCCATTTCCAAATGTTATCTAGACTAAAAGCGCTTCAACTCTTTCCCCCTCAGAAACAACTTCTGCATATCTCAATCAAAACCATCTTCTTTACTCTCTACAACTTCTGGCTGAACTTTTACATACACAAATGCCAGGAAAATGTACACACGAGACACACACATCCATTTATTTGGGGGAGGAGGAATCTCAAGAACTGGATTCTGCTAGAACTGAGAAGGATTACTAAGATTGGGAAGCTGATTCTCTGTGAGAATCATATGTGTATTTTTTTTTCTATCTACTACTCTTTTGTGAGTCTAAATTCAGGATTATCTTCATTTTGGGTAAATACACTGTCTGCAACACTTCCCTTAGATTTCTTCAGTGAAAAACAACTATAGGCATTGTCGGTAGTCTGGCTGGCAGCCATTCAGAACTTGCTAGGCCTTGCTAGCTCTAAGTGACTTGTTGCTTCTCTTGGAGCAGGAAAGATTCTTTAACAAGGATGAGGAAAGCCAAATTATACATATTCATGTACAAAAGGCTGTTTGGTTAAACTACATAACACTACACTCTTTATTTTGTTGTTCAACAAAGTGAGGGAAAATCCAGTTGGATAAACATGCCAGATTTTATATTTCATGTAATGTTTTATTTTTAAAAAAATAAACAATTACTCAAGGCTACTAAAATGAAGAATAATGTATTTGAATTATATTCTAGGAGCACATCTTGTTTGTTAATATAGCGGTATAGAGAGACAAAGTAAGCCCTGCAGTTGGAGTAGTTATATACATGCAGTCATACTCTTGCTTTTTCTCCTAAAATGAAGAAGACAAAGAAGCATTTAGGGAGGAATATAAATGCAGGGAGCTGGAGAGACGAACTGAAATACTAACAACCAAGAAATATATTCCTGCAATCATAAGAAATGGTACAGATAATCCTACAAAATCCTAAGAAATGCAGGCAGGTAATAAAAGTATTTACTGTATGATATGTATCAACAAAATTAGAAAGACTATTTCATAATAATCTAAAAATAATTTACTTGTTATGCAGAGATTCATGTTTTGTAACTTTGTAGGAAGTGGGAGATACCAAAAATAAATAGTGGCTTACCATAAGAACAATTTATCATACTGACATAGGCAAAGCCACCATTGAAGTATCATTGCACCAATATACTCTATGTTAATTTCCTTAACCTGGTATCCACCAGGTCCCATAATTCTCAACAAGCATGGTCTCATAATTTTCCAACCACTAAGCTGGAGAAGCTGAACTGCAAGACCCAGTAGATAGATGCAAGCATTGTTCTTTTTGGGTGCAAGTACAATATCACAAAACAGCACTTATTTTACTTCTCTCATCTGTATCTTAGCTGCAACTTATACCTAATGAATCAATTGCAGTTACTCCATTAATTTTTTTATGTTATTAGTATTTATTATTATTTATTCCTAATATTATTAATGTTCAGCTACAGTGGAACTTCCGGTCACGACCATAATCATTCCAGGACTTTGGTCGCAAGCCTATTTGGTCATGACCAGAAGCAAGACTGACTGCACATGCACGGACAAAAAAAAATGGTGCGGCAGGGGAAATGGCCACCGCAGGGGAAATTGCCGCAGCTGTGTTTGATAGCCACCCGAGGATGTGTTCACGACCAGAGTGAAACATTTAGCAGATTTTTTGGTCAGCACCCAATTTGGTTGTGGTCAGAAGCGTTTGCAACCCAAGGTTCTAATGTATTTCCAAAGTTCAGATTTTTATAATTTCTTTCATATGTGCCATATATATTGTGCTTCTTTAACTGCAACCATGTTAAATAGTTGGTAAATGCTTTCTTTCCATCTATTTTGACATATTCCTTTTTTAAATGTAAGCTGCTTTGGCAAGAGGCATATAAGTTACAAAAAAAAAAAACTGGGACTCAAAAGGAAGAGAATCAAAGTATGCCACATATAGACATACCAGCAAACAATATTGAAAAGCAATATTCTATGCCCTAAATTTCAAAGTGATATGTAGAAGTGTTTTTCATAAAATGAAATTATTTATATAGCTTTGGTGTAAAACTTGCATTCTGGATTTATTTTTAAATAGTTACCTTTTGTGCATCTCCTGTAACATAGGCAATGCCCAAAGTAGGAAGAATCATGAATAGTGCATTGTAATAAAGGAGACCATATTTTCCCAGCTCCTGGGAATGGAGGAAAAAAACAAACATATCTTAAATTAAAAATACAATGTTACATAGAAAGCTAATATTCCATCCAAATATTTTTTTACGATATCCTTAGACACAAACCAGGTTCATACTCTATCACCAATCAAGAGTATAACAAAAAAAATTTTTTGCAGCTACATAATTCATATCTTCTGCAGACTGGTGCCTACTTTAAAAATACATTAAATGGATATGTAAGAGAAATAAGGATCACAAATTTTATTCTTCATTCTGTCAATCTCTAACAAGGATAAATATTCAAAGGAAACTGTACTTTTTACCCACAGAAATTCAGCTTCTAAACTGGATAGGTTTTTGCCTAGTACATGTCTGCTAAATATGGAGAATAAACCTAAATCTGCCCTTAAACTATGTTTGCCTGAAGTAACTCTGTAAGAAATCTATCCCAAATAACCACAGCAAGTTAACTCACTTAATCCACAATTTGAAACCACATGATCTAATCGACCTTCATCCACTTTCATAGCTAGCAAGCTATCTCTTGATTCATTATGCTTAGAAAGGAACCAGTTACGCTGGTTACTTACAATGGGTGACAGTCACCAAACCATCTTATAATTATATAATAGTTCCTTAAATAGTATGTGTGTGTAACCAAGTAATCAGTATAATAGCTAAGTAACAATAGTATACCACTGCATTTTGGGAACTTCAGCTTGGTTGCTTATCCTGTAAGTTAATGTCACCCAATATCGTTTCAGCTAACCTTAAAAACCACATCTGCATGTTTTCAAGATTTTCTGGTGCTAAAAATGAAGTTGCCACTTTAATCTTGGCATGAAATAACTTCACAGTAAAAAATAATTGGGTATTGTTGTGCTGCGGAATGTGTTAATGCTTCTGGTGTTATGACTAAGTTATTTAATCCAATGACACCAACAGAATTGTGGTTGTCCTTTGGTAGAAACAGAGTGCTGATTTAGAGCAGCAGTGAGGAAAATATTACTCTCTAGATATAGCTAAATTACATCTCCCTCAACAAGGAATCTAAATAATATCTTGACAAATTATAAATGGAAGCTTTTAAAATGTTTCAAGCTTCAAATTTCACAAGATGCTCCATCTCAAGCCTGAAGTGCAAAAAAAAAAAAAAAAATCTGTCTGAAGGTTGATAAAAAATGTTTGAAAGTTGAGATGCTTCCAAAATATTGGAACAAACCGTTTCAGTGTTGGGGCAGGGTCATGAAATTTTGTGCTTGCGGTATTTCAAAATGAAACATTTTGCACATCACACATCAACCTGTGGAATATCTTACCCCACAGCAACAAAAAAATGCATTTTTATTTATCTTTTACTGATCAGCATAGCAACATGCAACAGTGAGGTGATCTTACCTTTGAATCTAGCTTCTGTTTTACATAAGCACCATTTGCAGCTGTCAAGACATCATTGATCAAGATAAAAATATATCCTTCTAGATCAAATGCCAAATCAGAACTATAGAGAAGAGATAACATTTAAATTACAGAAAATTTGTAACATTTACAAATATAGAACATAATTTACAACAATCCTGCAAGCAGGACACATTTTGTAAACAGTATTCTAGAAGATGCTAGGCATCTGATGAACCCCGATATGTAATGCTCTATGAATATAAATATGATCAATGCTGCACTTTAATATATAACTAATCTGTAAGAAATTGGGGGAAGGAAGAGTATAGCCATACTTTTTTCTGTGTACAGTCTGTTCTTTCTTAATAAGTGAGTCACCCCACCCAACAAAAAGTAAATATGTCTAACTGAGCACTGCTCTAAGTTTAAAATAATTCAAAGTGGATTTAAAGATTCCTATTAATTCTGCCTGCCAGTTAAAATAAATAGAATGAGGCAATCACAGATTTGTTATGAACCAGGAAAAGTATACTGGTAGCTGAAAGCAGAAGAAAAGGCCAATTTCTTTAGCCTACCCTTGAGATGTTAATGAACTACAACTTTCTGCTTGTCTTGCTAACTTATTCACAATGTAAAAAAAGACATTGAGACTCTAGAAAGAGTGCAGAGAAGAGCAACAATGATTAGGGGACTGGAGGCTAAAACATATGAAGAACGGTTGAAAGAACTGGGTATGTCTAGTCTAATGAAAAGAAGGACTAAGGGAGACATGTTGAGGTATTTTCCCCATTAGGAGAATGAGTGCACTCAAGGAAACATAGCGAGAGTGGTGATGAATAACACACAACCAGCACACAGATACACTGAATAGTAAAATGTAAGTTTTACTTCCTGTAAATGGGTAAACAAAGTCCAACAAACAGTCCAAATCATATGTGGTTAAAGCAGTTAGTATTCAAAATAATCAGTCCAGGGATAATCCAAAAACGAAGTCCTTTTCTTTACCAGTATCATAAACAAAGTTCAGTAAACAGAGTTTGCAAATAGTTGCAAGACTCACAGCAATTCAAGCAGAATGATGATCAAGTGAAAGGCAAAAGGAAAGCAAAGGAAATGCAAAAAAGAACAAACCAGGTTTCTGGCTCCATCTATGGCCATTGGAGGAACCTCAGCCAATCACAATTACAACATTCTCTTAAAGGTACAACAGTATTAAATGACTATCCTGGTTTATATACTGCCAACCCAACTGTTAGGTGACTATCATTCCTAACAAGACATGATAGCAGTGTTCCAATATCTCAGGGGCTGCCACAAAGAAGAGGGAGTCAAGCTTCTGCGTCGGCAGAGCCGAGCATCGAGAGCCTCTGTAGGGCTTAGATAGTGCTCCAGCGCAGCAGCTTTTTTTAAAAAAAAAAAAAACAGAAAATAGAAAAAAGGCAGTCTCAGCATCAGCAAAGCCAAGCACATTAGGACCGTGGTAGCGCTGAGCGGACTACAATTTCCAACCTGATAGAAGCTCTTTGACTGGAGAATCTAAGCGTTTCTGGCTAAAGATGAGAGCCAATTTTTGCCACGTCTCTTTAGGGCCAGACTGAGTCGTGAAATGGGAAAGTGACAGTTGACAGAGAGGCATGGTAAAAAAAATGAAGGACTCAGTCTCTGGGCAGAAAGGCATATAAACCCATGTGTGGACTCTCCAATCGACGTGCTGGAGAACAATTAATCAGTGGAACAACTTGCCTCCATAAGCTGTGAATGCTCCAACACTGGAAGTTTTTAAGATGTTGGTTAACCATTTGTCTGAAGTGGTATAGGGTTTCCTGCCTAGGCAAGGGTTTGGACTAGAAGACCCCTAAGGTCCCTTCCAACTCTGTTATTCTATTCTATTCTATTCTATTCTATTCTATTCTATTCTATTCTATTCTATTCTATTCTA